AATTTGGGGTCTCTTCGATTGATGATAAAAGAATTGAGGATTTTGATATCAAATGACGCTAAAATGTTTGAATTTTTCAGTTGTTGGGATCATGAAGTTGAATAGTTGCATGCTCCCTAGAGATAAAGATTTTTGCAAGGGAGGATTTTGACATTCAAGTGACGCTAAAACTTTTGAATTTTTTTGGCTGTCGAGATCTTGAAGTTGAAGGGTTGCGTTTTCCCCTAGAGGTGAGATTTGCCTTTTGATAAATACGCTGTGCATATCATAAAGAGTGGAGACATAATAGGAGCGTTTGGCAACCTAGGCGTTTTTACCGTTTTTGTTTTTTTTATTTAAAAAAATAATGAAACACGTTTGGTGAACGTGGTGTTTTTTTACCTGACTCTTTACAAAATCCAAAGAATAAACGTTTTTCTTAAAACACAAAAAAGGTGTTTTGAGATCCTTTTTCTTCACCTAAGCCGCCGCCGCTCGCCAGCCGTACCTGCCGTTGCCCGCCCGCCGTCGACGGTCATCGTCCGCCCAAACTAGTTTGACCAATAACTTTCAAAATGTTGTTTTCAAAACACTTCTGAAAAAAAAATACCATGACATGATGTTTTTCTACAAAAACACAACAAGAAAATCACCTTGCTTACCAAACACACCAATTTATGGTTTTCAAAACTATATATTGTCAAGCCTGCCTTCCCCTTTACCCCTAGTCTGCTGGAAGCCTTTCTTCGGTACCACGCATAACGTATTCGAATTGTTAAAATGTGCTCTCGGGCAGCGCACCCCTACTAACATATACTAGGAGTATGCAACATTTTATAATTTCAAATAAACTTTTTTATTGTTTGAACTGCAAATCTTATCAGATAGACTTATACGATGTTACAACTTAGTATTAACTTAGACTAAACATCAGGAAAAAAAAAACCCAACCCTGACCGATTGTTAGGTAACCGCCCATAACTTTCAAAATATGAGAAAAATCGCCCTTAAGATTTTATTAGAAAAACCCCTAAAACAGTAGCTACAAGTCTACACAGCAGGGAGTAAAATTATGCAGGGGATTTTTTTAAAAAAAAAAAATTTGCAATTCACACTTTTATGAGGGTTTTCTAATAAAATAATAAAGCTAAAAAGAACTTTATGATAATACCTAAATTTAAGGGTTTTCACATTATTTTGACAGTTATAGGTGGTTATCTAATAATCATCCAAACTTGAGAGGTTAATTTTTGCTGGTACTTAGCCTTTAAATTAAATGACTTACGACCATGCTATATAACACCAAAACTTTCGGAATCACTTTTATGAGAATCTTCTACATCCTTTCAGTTGTGAGAATCTCCTACATCCTCAAAACAAACAAAATGCAATGTTTATAAATATTTTATTTTCTTCTTTGCCATAATACATATTTTCGTTTAGTTTTCTATTCAAGTTAGAATCATAAGTAACCATATAGTTTTCTGTTCAGGTTGGAATCATATATTCTAATAATATAATATTTAGTAGATCATAAGTAATCAAAACGTTAGTTAATATTTTCTGATAAAAGAATTTCTTTCTTAACAAAACTCCTATGTGGGCTTGGAGAAGGAACACAAGAATGAGTTCCGGTCTGGCACACTAATAAGATAGAAAAATCTGCTGGCTTCTGATGAGAGTTGTTTTTGTGTTAAAACTAAGAGAAACCCTGCAATTAAGATTCATTGAGGGGAAATCTTGCGTAAAATTTAGGACGATCACGTTCTGTCATATAGGGCTAGAGCGGCCTTCAAAAATCCTCTAATCTTAATAAATAAATAAATAAAAACTCAGAAGGGCTAAAAATGAGCGCACTACTGAAAAAAGCCAGCAAGTAATATTCTGTAAGAAAGAACGAATACATGGGCCCATACTAATTAAACCCAAAAAGAAAAATACCTACCAACCAAAATTTAGACATTGAAAAAGATAATTTTTTTATTTACCCTGGCCTCTTTGGTTTCGATGTTAACAGTGCCAACCAAGCAATAACTAACAAGCAATCCCCGGTCAAAGCACAAAATAGGGAAAATAAACCAAGAAAACAAAAAATTTACAACTTCCCGCTCGAGATGTTGCCGACCATAACAATATAAGATGAAAAACAATAAGAATTGAGAAATTTCCAGGTCCCTTTATTCGCTAACTCACAACTCAATGAGCGAGAAGTAGAATGATTCCGCTATAAGTCGATTCACTCAAAAAATTCAAAGGTTATCGCATAATGCTTTTGTAAAATCAGTAGTGGATGCAGTGCCACCAAGATCACCTGTTCTGTATTTTCCTTCAGCAATGGTCTTGAGTATCGCATTTTGGATCCTATCAGCTTTATCAGTTAGCTGCAGGTGACGAAGCATCATGACAGAGCTCAGGAGGAGGGCTGTAGGATTTGCGAGATTCTGCAATTAAAAATTCATAAAAACTAAATTAATCAGTCACGAGGCAGATGATAAAATTAGAAAGCGACAACAATAGAAGGCAGATTGTGTTCCGTGAAAGACCAAAAAACAGAGAGGTCACATCACTCGAGCTAACTGATCGAATGATATTTATAAGAATTCCTTTTAGTTTATATGCGTCATCTTTTCACTCTAAATTGCTGGCCACCATAGATCAGTTGAAAGTTTGTGATTGGATTTTTGTTTTAACGGAAACAGGTGTTGCCATGTTCCTCCATACTGTTAACTGGTGCCCAACTGTGCATACATCCAAGCCATTGATTATGATCCAAGTATGCTTGATGATTTGCTCTAGATCTGTGCCATTTCAACAATACACTATAGCGAGGGATACATCAGCCCCATTAACTTTTTTTTAACTGGACATTGTATAGATTTTAAAAATATACAATGAAGAAGCACCGTGCCTTCCAGGCGGGAACAAAAATTTGGGCTCCACGTGGCGTTTTCCATGCTTGCATTTATAGAAAAGATATTGAGATGTATAGCATGCTAACTTATAAACACCCGTCTTAATGGTTAATTGTAATTTAAGCCACTTGTTGCTCCAAGGTTCAAGGAAATCCAACATCGGAGGCGCCGTTGCATGCTTTTAGATGTGTAGTTTGAACCACAAGCAGGGATTCAAAAGTTGTAGTGGGAACTGAGCTCAAAATGAATACAGGCACCAGGAAATTGTGCTGAAAATTGACTAATCAATATTGCTGGTTGATTACTTGACCTAGTTGGAATAGAAAACTATCCGACTACTATAATGTTACTGCAGTACGGTAGCTAGAACTGCACGTTATTGGAATATGAATCAACTACTTATTACCAATCACACTGTTCTACAGTGAGTCCATAAGTAAAGGAGGCTTCATGGCACCAAGCCATTCTCAATGAAGGCTAACATAAGTCTAAGTAAAAAGGAAAAAGAAAACAAATATAGATAAGGGGTTTTTGCTTCTAAAGCCACGTTTTACTCTAATTTATTTTTAAACCCACGTACTTTTATATGTATCATTAAACCCAAGTACACAAACTTTTTATTTTCAAACCCAAGTGGTTATATTTGTTCATGTATATACTGTATTTCATTAAGATATAAACTATATCCCCAGTCCTCCTACTACCTCTGATCAACGCTGCCGCTGCCGCCTTCCTCCTACCTCCGACCCTCTCCCCACTTTCTGTCTTCCCTCCATTTAGATCCCCTCCCCCCCTCCTGCAATCCACAATCCACAATCTTCAATCTCAATCTGTCGCTCAAAACCCACAAAGAGGACGGAGAGCCAGTGTTGTGGAGGCAGAGGACTTGTTTAGCTATGGAGAACCCATTCAAGAGCTTCACATCATTTGATTACTAGGATTGGTGAAAGGAGAGATGATGGAGATGAAAAGGCACGGACTTTTCGAGAATTTGGGGGCAAAAGTAGGATATATTTGGGATTTTCATAGATTCTGTGGATCACGGTTAGGGAAGAGAGGAGATGGAGTGTGAGGGCAGGAGGAGGAGGAGAAAGAGAGGAGATAAATTTGATGCGTTAGGGGTTGTAGGATGGAGGCATAGCGTCGGAATCACATCAGCTGTCAGAGACAGGGGTGGTTGGAGAGCCACGAAGGGGAAGGATTGGAAATTTAATTTTTGTTAAATGAAATACAGTATATTCATGAGCAATACATCCACTTGGGTTTCAAAATAAAGAAGTTTATGTATTTGGGTTTAAAGATACATATGAAAGCACATGGGTCTATGGCTTTAGAAGCCTTATGTTTATAAATTTCCAAACCAAATCAATCCAACTCCAGCCATCTCTTTGATTATTATAGGATAGACAGGTTTGCAATAACGGGGTGTTTGTTTGCACGAAAGTGAAAAATGAAGTGACGCGCTTTCAACACTTTAGGTGTTCATTTTATTGAAAATGTCTATGAAAATGAAATGCAAACAAGTGCCACAGATTTAATGCACATTTAACTTCCCCTAGAAGAGTGCCAAAGTCATTATATTATAAAAGTAAAAAAGCGGAAACCACAAAGATTTTAATTATTAACCATATTGAAAAAATAATATGATTTCAGATAAAGAGTGCTGGGATATAAAGAGTTCAACGAGGACTTAATGGATTGCAGAACTGAAGTAGGAAGCAAGTACTGTCACAAACCTTTCCAGCAATATCAGGAGCTGACCCATGTACAGCCTCAGCCAGACAAATGCCTCCCTCACCAATATTGCAGCTGAACAAAATGTTGTGTGAATGAGATCAAGTGCTTACAGTTGTCAATAGATTGGAAGAAAACAATGGTTACCTAGGAGTCAAGCCCAAACCACCAATCAAGCCAGCACACAAGTCACTAATTATATCTCCATATAGATTTGGCATCACTAATACATCAAAGAGAGAAGGATTTTTCACGAGCTGTTTCAAGCAAGGCAAAATATGAGTCAAAACTGATAAGAATAAGAGGGCTGAAAACAACATTTGACTTGCAAATAGCTTTAAAGCTCCAGTCACGCATTTGTGACCGGAGACACTCATTTCTAAAGCGAATTTAAATTTGTATTTCTTCCTGTATCCATGAGGAGATGCACTCATTTCTAAAGCTGATACAATCATATCTTATTAGCTCCCATGATAGAGACATACCATCATGCAACAGTTGTCGATGATTACTTCCTCATAAGTAATCTCAGGGTACTTCTCAGCTACCTCACGGCAACACTGCAAATGGAGATGAAAGAAGCACATTAAATAATTTTACTTTGACATTTACAACTACAAATCCTACAGTCAGCATACCTTGAGGAAAAGACCATCAGTCTTTCTCATGATGTTTGCTTTGTGAATAGCTGACACCCTTTGTCGGCCATTAGTCTTGGCATAGTGAAACGCATATTCTGCAACCCTGATGCTGGCTTGACGAGTAATGATCTTAAGACTTTCCACAACACCTCTCACCACCTTTGAGTCAAAGTGATGAAATCTTTTTTCAGTATCTTGGTTATTATAAAACATGCAATGGTCAAAATGTAAACTCTAGGTACCTGGTGTTCAAGGCCGCTGTACTCCCCTTCAGTGTTCTCACGAATTGTTACCAGATTGACATCATCATATCGGGTTTTGTATCCAGGAAGACTATAACAGGGCCTCACGTTGGCATACAGACCCAACTCTTTGCGTAAAGTAAGGTTCAAAGATCTGTGGCCCTTTCCAATGGGCGTAGCCATTGGTCCCTTAAGGCCCACACCATTTTTACGAACTGATTCCAGACTTTCCCATGTGATAAAGCTCTGTGTTCTTGGGTCCACTTGGTCCCCAACAAAATGTTCATCCCAGTCAATAGGCACTTCAGCTGCATTGAACACCTGCAGTGAAACAAATCAACTGTTACTGGCTTTACACTTTCTACCATGATTTTGTGAATGCAAATCATGAAAATGACAATAAGAGGAAGGAGGAGGATGCGTGTAGGCGAAAACAAGACGGAGAAATTCAAGAAAAAACAAATGTATAGAAAATCAATAGCAATAAACAATGCTAACCCCCAGAAACTAATGCTAAACATGGACTATGAATTGCCATCGTCTCCTGCTTTTGGCAGATGAGTGACAAACCAAAGCCTCTCTCTGACTAGAATTGAATAGAACAGCTTAGCACAGTTTTGCAACAACATTTCTATCACACTATGCATGATTGAAACCATTTAAAGCCAACGGTGCATAGTTTAAAGCTTGTAATGCATACCAAGTTGAAATCTAATTCAAGGTAACTCATATTAATAAACTCCAGCAACCAGGACTTGGAACATTGTCATTGGTGCCCAACTCGAGCCAATAAACCTATCAAGTTGGATTTTATTGTACGCATTATTGTAAGAAACAATCTAGGCCAAGCAGTGTATAGTGACCCTTACAGGCCCTAAGCAGGGCATGTGAAACGTGCCAGCTGCTTAAGCAGCTGAAGGAGCTGCCCCTTCTTAAGTGGTCTGCTTGATGTTTAAACAACTAGAATCAGGAAGATAGTGGTGGCCCCAACGAGCCAGTCGAACCGTTACTTAGTCCTAAACAACAAATTATTCCTCTCAAGCAATATGCTCTCCCACAACCCCCTTCTTCTCCGCTGCCCTCCCCTTCTCTCTAGTGCGTATTAATGATGAAACCGGGCCTGACAGAGCATCAACTACCTCTACTCATTAGCCTGACACCTATCAGGTAAATTTATCTGATCCTTGCCTATATCCATTCCTTTTTGTTCTCAATTTATCCTATTTTTGTTGTTCTTTTCCTCCATCTTCTCTCCATTTTACTCTTACTGATGCTATTGTTCCATGTTGTTATTGGCTTGTTGTTGCTGCATCTCGTCCTCTTCTCTTTGTTATCCATTTTAGAATATTCCGATTTTTTGAATTTTCTAACTTACTATCAGTTTCAGGTTTTTTTACATTTGTTAATTGTAATTTAAAAAAGAAAAAGAAAAAAAGCCCAATTAGTGCTAGGCAGCGGGTTGACCACCTAGGTCCACCTCGGAGAGGGGCTCCAATCTGAAAGCAGAAAAATTAAAAAGAAGAAGATAGGATTTAAATAAATAGGCTTCACACATTAGGGCTTTACACCTCACTAATGCTTTGTTTGGGAGTTTACTAAGGGAAGAGACGGAAAGTTAAATAATGGAAAGGAAATGTAGGGAATGAAAGTGAAAAGATAAAATGTTGTTTGGAAGTTTAGTAATGGGAACGGAAGTAAATTTGTTTTACCTTGTTTGGGAGTTCTAATAAAGAGGAGGGAAGTGAAGTGAATATGTATAAAGTTACATAAATACCCTTACATATTGGATGTAAGTATATATTATCCATTGATTTTAATATCATAAGGGTATAGTTGTCTTATCACATTGTAAAATTTTACATTGGTATCCCTTCCATCCTCTACCCCACAAATTGGAGGGGAGAAAATGGAAGGAAATTTAACCTTCCATTCCATCCTCTAACCCCTCAAAAAAACTCTCAAACAAGGTGAAATTAAAATTTCACTTTAACTTCATCCATTAACCTCCATCCAAACAAGGCGTAAAGAATAAGCTTCGCACCTAAGAGTTTCACACCCCCCGCTAAAGAATATGCTTACCCCCTAAGGGCTTCGCAACCGAGGAAATTCACATGCCAAAGCTCTTCTCACACTTGAGAAGAGAAGCCATTGACAACTTTTACTCATAACTCAGATTTTTTGTTCATCGATGTCTATTCCTCATGAATGATTACACATCTTATTTATAGAAGAGAAAATCACCTAACCACTAAAGAAAACAAATCAAAATTTCTAACCAAACCATATCAACGTAATTAGAGAAGATGCAATCCGAACAGATCCTGACTATATCATTGTCATGAAAAGCAAAAGATTACATGACAGTGATTGCGCATGAGAACACACCCTTGAACACAATCAGGAAAAAAGAATGGGCAGCCATGCTTCACCCCGTCTTTCTCAAGCTTCATTTCACATTTCAGTCACGAACATCACTTCGTAGGTCAAATTGAAAGTAGTACTACTGCAACTATAACTGATAGTGCCACAATGAGAACTTCCCCGTGCCGAGTTTGATCACACATAAGATAATACAAGCATGCAAAAGTCTGTAATAAACAACAGGTACCGTAATTAATTCCTGCAATTACTTTATGCATACATGTCTTAATGATTCCCATCTAGCCAAGGCCTTTGCAAAACTAGATGAATGAATTCGCAGAATAGATTTTCTTATTAGGCTATTACTACACATAAACTGACCTTCGTGTCCGAAACATAAAACAACTCCAATCCTAGTTGCATGTACACTAGTGACACCTTGGAAAATCTCAAACCTTGACAAAATTACATGCATATTGGATACAAAAAACTTCACATTCATTAACCTAATGTCTGGTAAGCTTATGATTCAAACTTTAACCAACGATCATTAAATCCAAGCAACATAAAACAAAAAAATCAACAAGTCAAAAGAAAATTTACCTTCTTAACTGATTCTGCGATCTCGGGGCCAATTCCATCACCAGGAAAGAGCGTAGCTCGAATTGGCTCGCCCGCTACAGTCGAGAGAGATCGAACGCCCGAGACTTGCTCGAACAAATTCTTTCGGAGCAGACGACGAAGCGCCATGAAATTAACTGATCGAAGAGATCACAATCAGCGATTCGAAACCCTAAGCGTTACAAAATCAAAGGAAGGGGCAAATTTTCGATGGTGATCGAGAAATTACCCGAAGAAACCCTAGAAAGGTGCTGCGAGAGACGAAGGTGGATCGAGCTCCTCTTGGATTTAGCCAATCAATGAGACCTTTTTAGCCTTCGTTCGAGCTCATCAAAATTTATTCGCCCCATTTTGATCGTTCTGGTATCGGAGGTCCCTGTTGAAATTATTACCCGACCCGACTTTTTTTACGTCATCTACTCCTCTATACTTGAGAGATTTACCGTGTATATGCACAGTATATATTACAACAAATTACCGTGTTACAAATAGTAAATCTTTGAATCATACTTAGCATGTATGATTCTGTTTATACTACAGTAAGTTACTGTATCATAAATAGTTTTTTTTAAAGTGTAGAGTAGTAGATATTATTTCTAATTTTAAACGTATAATAATCAAATCAAATATATTAAACTTTAGAGGGAGACATGTTCAAAATGCAATGCTTAAAAAGACAGGGGGTGTGCTTTGGACAAGATACATACTAGTGTATTAAATCCTAAAATCTTTCTGGTTTTGCATTAGTGCTCCGAATCATTGAAATTGCTCCAAAGCCTCTCAAATTGTGTAAGTTATTCTGAAATAGGCCCTCCAGCTAGAGCTTGTTTTCAACGTTAACTATTTGGTTGGAATGTTAACTATGTTTTTTCTAAAAAGTCCAAACTTGGTTTAAATTGAGAGAGAAGAATTTTAGTGCTGATTTTGAGGACGACATAAGAATTTGTTCTTTCTCAAAGGATGAAGTGGTAGCTAAGGAGAGGGGAAGCCGAACTCTAAGGGGGGTGGAGTTACTTAATGGGATTAGTTTAGTAATTATTCATCCATTGTTAACTACTGACCTAATCATGATTAGCTTATTAGATGATTTTTTTTTGGCAAGGGATTAATCTCAGATATCTTATATGAGATAGAGACCTAATTGCAATTTCAGTGATTCGAGGGAAAATTCTCAAAATAAGAAAGATATGAGGGACTAATACGACCCAACCCAACTCTTAAAAGATTCTCTCATATTAGCCCCTAGCGTATATCATATTATTATATCGATATACCAAAGAAAGGAGAAGACAACGAAACATAAAGCTTGCGAAGTCTTTAAACTTTGGGTATGATTATGAATAGAAAACACATGTTTTAAGTAAATAAATGAAAAATGAAAAGCATATGCTTATGTGGAACTCTAATGAACTGCAAGACTTTCCACATACTATCACGATTTTATAGAAAAAAAGATCTATTTTATAAAATTAAGTATAAAACCCCATCGTTATATAATAACGGAAAACAATTATGCATCAATCCAATGAGTAGAGAGAATAAGGTATCTTTTGCTTCATTCAATATAACAAAGGGGGTTGTGATGAACTATAGTTTGTATACTGGGGTTTTCTGCAATTTACTCAAAAAGGGAAATCGGGGAATCCATCGTCTGGATCGGGCCGTCAAACGCAGACCCACGGGCCTTTGCGCGTGTCCTCTTCTCTTTTATCCCCAATTCCCTCTGCGTTCTCTGTTTCCCGCCATTTTTTATTCCCGCCCTCTGAAGCTGGTAAAATCCCCTTCTCTCCCCTTGAAACCCTAGTTTCGCAATGGACGCCGAAATCAAAGCCGAGTTCGAGAGGAACGGTTTCTTGTTTCAAGAAGAAGAAGAGCAGATCCTTCAGAAATGTAATCGCTCCTCTTTCAATTTCTCTCGTTAAACCACAAAGATCTAACGAATTTTTTTATTTTTTATTTATTTTTTCCTCTTAGGTCTGAGCATGTGCATCAATTACAGTCTCAGCCCTTCGGATCTGGTCTCCAACTGGGAGATTTACTATCTCAACAGGTGAATTTAGTTGATAAACCCTTTTTTTTTCTGTTTGCGATCACGGGACAAGAGAATGGTAGATATGGGTTATTTCATTAGGTTTTTTGCTGTTAGAAGAGACATTATTTTAGTCTTGAAGGAATGGGGGATCTTTGCTCCCATTTTACTCTTTTATTTTCATTTTTTTAATGATTCTTCTTATTCTTGCGTGTGTGTTCTGGGAGTAGCATCTGGAAACTAATCATAGTGCACATTTTGGGGAGAAAATGAAATAGATGAAGAGTTCAGTAGACTTTTCACATTTTTGGTTTATCTACCGTCTTATTTAATCATGGTGTAGTCAATTTAAGTGAGATTTTGATAAGATTTGGTGGCTTTGGTAAAACCAGGAATTTAATTTATTGACATTATTCTCAGACATTATTTCAGTATCAGTGATTAAATTCCAGCTATTTAACGTGATTAAGAGTTAGTGAGGAAAATAGAGAAAAGCTCTTATTGTATTATGAAATCTCTTGGGCTTATATAGGCCCCTACAAATACAACTTCCAAATAACCCTCTAACTATTATCAAAATGTCAACACTCCTCCTCAAGATGGGCGAAAGATATTCACTAAGCTCATCTTGTCACATCCTCTAATCATATCTACTGAGCTAAGTCCCTTAGTCAGACAGTCTGCTGTCTGTTCCTTAGTTGGAACATGACTTAACTCCAGTAATTCATTGTCCAACTTCTCTTTGATGAAGAACTTATCGATCTCGATGTATTTAGTTCTATCACGTTGCACTGGGTTGTTGGCGATACTGATGGCTGATTTGTTATCACACCACAGTTTCATCTTGGCTCCTTGATCCAGGTTCAGCTCTATCAGCATATTTTTCAACCACAATAACTCCGCAACTCCCAAGGCCATAGCTCTATACTCTGCTTTAGCTGTTGATCTTGTCATCACTGACTGTTTCTTGCTTTTTCACGAGATCAAGTTGACTCCTAGTCTCCTACAAAGATACAGTATCCTGATGTGGACCTCCTGTCATCAACACAGCTAGCCCAATCAGAGTCACAGTAACCCTTAATGCTCACATGTTCATTCTTCCTGAATATCAGTCCTTTTTTCGGGACACTCTTTAAATATCTCAGAATCTGGTACACTGCATCCATATGATCCTTCCTTGGATCATGCATGTAGCGGCTCACCACGCTCACTTCAGAAAAAATATCTGGACGTGTGTGATTTAAATAGATCAACCTGCCCACTAGCCTCTGGTATTTGTCACGATCAACTGGTTCTCTAGCTTTCGTATCTAGCTTGAACTTCTGATCGATCGGTGTAGTTGTAGGTTTGCACCCTAACATCCTTGTCTCTTTGAGAAGGTCTAGTGCGTACTTTCTTTAGGAGAGGACAATCCCCTCCGCTCTTCGAGCTATCTCTATTCTAAAAAAGTATCAAAGCAAGCCAAGATCTTTCACTTCGCATTCCTTACCCACTCTCACTTTGAATTGGACAATCTCCTTTTTATTATCTCCTGTAATAATCATATCATCCACATATACTGCAAGCATAATAATGTGGCCCTCATTCCGTCGAAAGAACATGGTATGATCGGTGTTAATCTGCTGATACCCCATACCTATCATAGCCCGTCTGAATCTGTCGAACCAAGCACGAGGAGACTGCTTCAGCCCATAGAGAGACTTCTTCAATCTGCAGATCTTGCTCACTGTCTGATCTGTATCGAATCCTGGTGATATCTCCATGTATACTCCTTCCATTAGATCTCCATGAAGAAATATATTCTTCACATCTAGTTGGTGTAACTTCCATTCATCATTTATTGCCAGAGAGATTAAAGTCCGAAGAGTGTTCATCTTCGCACTGGTGCAAAAGTCTCATCATAGTCGATGTCATATGTCTGACTGTATCCTTTTGTCACCAGACAAGCCTTATAACGCTCAACCAGTCCATCTGGATTCTGCTTCACAGCGAAGACCAACTTGCATTCAACTGCTTTCTTCTCTCCTGGTAATTTTACTAACTCCCAAGTACGGTTCTTCTCAAGAGCCTCTAGCTCCTCGTGCATAGCCGCTTTCCACTTTGGGTCATTCTTAGTAACCTGCCAAATTTTAGGTACAGTAACAGAGTCCAATGATGCAATGAATGCTTCATGTGTAGGATGAATGTTAGAATATGATACAAACTAGGCAAGATCCTAACCATATCTATCAGGAGGATTTTCTGTATTACTGTGAGTAGTCCTTCGTACTGATATTTGTGTGGGAGAAGTAAGGAGAGGAATGATATCACTTTGGAAGGAATCTGGTGGTGATGTAGGTATCTCAGGAGTCGGGGCAGGCGTTGTCAAGGGACTTGGCACCAGTGACATTGTAGGTACTGTTCCTGTAATTTGCTTCTCCTTCCTACTATAGGTAAGTAGCTTCCCCTGAACCGTGGGCCTAACACCTCTTCTCTCCTTCTCTTCGTCTTCTTTATTCTCCTGCTCCTCCTCAACCAATTCTTTCTCCCAAGGAATCGATAGAGAAATCGATTTCTCCATATTATTATCTATATTGTTCACATGCCTCTCACCATTCTCCCCCTCTCGCCTCATACTTCCAATATCGGGCGAGTCACCAACGGATGAGGTTACCTCCCGGGTGTAATATGACTCGAGTTTTCAAAAGTACACATCCATGTTCATAAACAACCTCTTCTCCACTGGGCTCCAGCAAACATATCCATTCTAAGTAGTAGAATATCCCACAAAGATGCATTTTACCGCTCTAGGGGCAAGCTTCCCGACGGATGACCTGTTGTCTTTCACAAAACACACACAGCCAAACACCTTTAGTGGAAGAAGCCCACTATTATCTTTCTTCAACGTCTCACACGGTGACTTCCAATCCAGCACTCTCAAGGGCATTTTGTTGATCAACGTCGCTGAGATTAATATTGCTTGCCCCCATAATGTTTCTGGGACATTCATGAAGATCATTATGTTCTAGCAACCTCTAAAAGATGTCTGTTTTTCCTCTCCGCTATCCCATTCTGAGCTGGTGTGTATGGACACGTGGTCTGGTGCTGTATTCCCTGAACTGACAAGTATTCCCCAAGCACTTTGTTGGTATACTCTGTCCCATTATCAGACTTTAATACCTTTACTACTGTTCCGTATTGAGTCTGAACATTCTTATGAAAGTTTTGGAAGCAACCAAACACTTCATTCTTATTTTTTATCAGGTATAATCAAGTAACACGAGAGAAATAATCAATAAAGGTAACAAAATACTTGTATCCATCCATAGAACTTGTGGAACAAGACCCCAAACATCTGAATATATCAGGTCAAATGCACGAGAACTCCTATGACCAGAACTAACATAAGAGCTTCAAATAAGCTTTCCAAACTCACATGCATCGCACACAAGTTTCTGTTTATTTGCTCTCTCAAATAAAGATGGATACAATCTACTTAAAACACTAAAGGATGAGTGTCCCAAGTGTTGGTGATGAAGCATTAACATACTCTCAACATTCATCTCAGATCCTACTCCTGCTCTCTCTACCATAGATATTGACGCTGAGTCCAGCCCTTCACGATCCAGGTATCACAGTCTACTATTCCATGTGCCAGTCCCAAGTCTCCGTCCTGTCCCCTTCTCCTGGAAGATCATCTTAGAAATATCAAAAGAAACAATGTATTTTAGTTGGAGTATGATAGCACTAATGGAAAAAAAAATTGACTGGAAATGAAGGAGCATACAAAACATTGGATAAAGTTATCGAATCTGTACAATTAACAGTACCCTTACCAACCACTGGCTGAAATATACCATCAGCTATTTGAATACTATCAGCCGATGCTAAGTGAGTATATGATGAGAACTCATTAGTATTACCTGTCACATGTTGAGACACACCGGAATCGACTATCCATTCTGATGATCTATCGGGGGACATAGAAGCAAGAGCATGTATGTCATCAGTATATTTGGTTGGATGAGCATAAGTAGTAGTGTTGCCTCTGGCGAAGAACGAAGTTGATGTCTCCTCAGTCCCACTCATCCTGTCTCCATCTCCTGCTACTCTTTGTTTTCTCCTGAGTATCTCCAGAAGAGCATGATCTTCCTCAATAAAGACCGCCTCAGGTGCTTCCTCTCCCTCTGCTACCACCAGATTCGCCTGGTTCCTGCTCCTCTTCCACCTCGTCGATCCCCACGGCTACGACCACGACTTCCGAACGGTCCACGACCACCCGAATCTCCTTCCTTCGGTGGCTTGGTGCAAGCATGTCTTAAATGACCCACTTCACCATAGTTATAGCACTGCCGAGTCTCTCCCTTGGATCCAGAGTTAGAGGCTACCAGTGCTGACTTCACCACATGAAGTCCAGCTATCCCCGCCTACAGCCTAATGCGAGTCTCCTCCTGGATCATGGCCGAGACTGCCTCCTCAAGTATGAGAATCTTCGGCTGAGCTAGCAGCAATGCAGTCCTCTGAGCAAACTTCGATGCCAGTCCCTTGAGGAACACCATAGTCCTCTCCTGTAGAAATACCTCTCGCTTCTTACACTCCGGGTCCTTATAGCTCGCCCGAGGTGAGAAGTGATCATAATCTATCCACAGACGTTCCAGCTCTGTGGCATATCCCTGGACAGTCCTCTCTCCCTGGACTGTGGCGTCAATTTCTCTTTTGATCTGGAACACCCTCATGTTATTCTCCATCCCATCATAGGTCCTCAACTTTTCCCAGATATCCATCACCTTCCCGATGTCATCTACTGTGGCGGTGATTGACTGGACCAATGAGTTGAGGAGCCAGATGTACACCAATATATGAGTGGACTTCCACTCATCTCTTTCAGCTGAGCCCTCAGCCGGTTCTGTCTTCTCTCCTGTTAAGTACCCCTCCAGGTTCCTCCCTACAAGGGTGTATCTTACCCGTCGTGACCAACTTAGGTAAGTAGCTGGTCCATCAAGCTTCAGATCGATGGGTGGAAGCTTCAACTTTTTCGGTGGCCTTGTTGTACTCTCACCAGCCGACAACTTCATCAGATGCATCAAAGTTGAGACCTTCGAGGGGTTCAACTTCTTGATGATCTCCTCCATCGATCAAGCTCTAAATCAACCACCTGTGCTCCTTCTTCTCTTCAAACCCTTGTTGTGCACAGAGAAAATTTTGACAGCACTTCTGCTACACAACAAGAGTAAGATCTTAACTAAATCCTTGTTTCTCAAAGAAAACAAGAATAAAAAAATAATATATCTCAACAACGTGAGATATACATTCTTTCTCTCATCAGTTCTAAGACTGAAATATCGAGGAAATCTATCAGGCTACACATCCTCTCATTAGTTCTATGACTGATATGTCGAGGGAATCCAACAAGATACACATCATTGGGTTGGGCAGCAGGCGGGGGTGGGGGGGTGGGGGAGGAGGAGGTTGGGGG